CTTGAAAATGACTAGACGATGTCCTACCTGGGTTTTGAGCACATCAAAGACTGTGTGGAAAAATTTAAACATTTGCTCACAAAGTTGCGGAGAATGAATGTAGAGGGGAAACAACCATAGACTCAGGTCAATATATTCTCTGTTAATCATTCACACTCAACACATGATCGTTTAGAATTAAAGGGACAGCCGTCAATTTTAGGTTACCCTCAAATTTTTGAGTTACATGCCTCATTCACACTATTCATTGAGTAACAAAGACATCGAAAGGGTTACATTCTGTCAATTCTCTTCATTGTCTCTTCTGCTGCATAAATATGCAAGAAACATTTAGAGAGAGCCCGCAATCGAAAATCTTAAAATTTCCAACAAAAAAAAAATCTCTATAATTTCTTTTGATAAAAGTAGGGACTTGAGAAGACCGACTGTTCCTTTATTGTCGATGGCAAATTACACCAACTTTGAAAATTTGTCATGTGACTAGCGGATTTTTTGTAGCTGAGACAAAGAACAAAATTTACAGAATCTAACACTTTTCAGGATGAAAAAATGACGATATCTTCCCAATTGGTGCCCAGCCAAAATTAAGGGTCAATTGAAATTACGGTCTACGGTCCGTTTATTCATAAAAATTATTTTCACTCCCTTTAAACAATTGTTTAAAATTGAAGGAAATGTAAGTATAAATTCAAGTGACCCTGCATGCATAGATGGTAATGCCCGGTTTACAATGGTACACCTAAAATATTTAATCTAATACAAAATGGGGAAGATAACCTAGGTTTTCTGACTCTAAGTGCTTAATCTGCGAGATTCTTAACAAGAAATGCGCACGTCACTAAATCGCAGAGAAACCACAAATAAAAAACAAACAGTTTAAATGAACAAACACATGAATTTCTAATTCATACTTGATCAGTCAAGGCTATCAAGGGTACCGATGTAAATTGGACATTGCCATCTTTGCTTGATGGATCACTTAAAATTATGCTTACAATCCCTATACAGGATAAAAAAAGTTTTCTTTAATATTTAGTATGTTCCTAAGAGAATCATGACAGAGTTTTTTAGTCTGAGTAACTTCATTCAATACATTCTCAACTAGATCCCCCAGGATTAATAGAGTGTGTAGGATTATAGGTTCAGCCTAGAATATAATATTAGTTTTAACAATAATAATAACAATAATAATTAAAATCAACATAACACGGATGATAAAAAAATAAACAACATCTGACATAAAAACAATGACAATAACCATAACAGTAACAACAAAGACAAAGATATTAAAATAACAAAAAAGTAACTACAGTTTAATAAAAATAAAAATAACAATAGTTCAATAACAATAACAATAACAATAACAATAACAATAACAATAACAATAACAATAACAATAACAATAACATAAGACTTCATCAATCAACAACATCTAGTAGATTTCCACAATTTAAAAAATACACTCAAAATTAATTTTTAACTATCTAACATTCAAACTAACCTGAGTTTGCAGCTGCTTGCTTTGAGAAAAATTTGGATCAATTCTAAGGTTTCTAAATTCTTCCGTTGTATCACGAAGAAACTTCGTCAAATGTTTCTTTCTATCTTCCCATTTCTGCTCCTGTATACCCGGCCAGTGAAGAAGCAATACGTTAGTGAGAGATCTAACTAGTAATCTGTGCGCATCAGGCTGTAGCCTGAGATGACTAATGCTAGAGTATAGATCTGTAAACTCCTTTAGCTTCCATATACTTGGTGGGCGCACTGTTCCGGTCAGTGTCACTAAGAAATGAGACGCGGCATGCACAAGTACATCACTTCCACCATCTTTAATAACAACAACAACAGCTGACACAATTTTAGATGTTAGATCCGAACAAACCCAAGTGTATTTACTATCACTTAGTGCTTCTGAATGTAATGCAGCAAGCCAATGGCACCAGGCTTTCAAGGCAGCCAGGGTTTCTGCATGAACTTTTAAAAAACCCTCCTTTATCACGGAATTTTCACAGCTGCATGAATAAATTTTTTTTTGTGAACTGAAAGTTGTCAATAAGAGCAGCTCTTTCAAATAGTTCATTCCAGTATCAAGACGCTCTAAGAACATTTCTCCTATAAAAAGAACAGAAATCCTCCCAACCAGCTGGAGCAAACTGCAGAAATCTTTTAATAATAAATCCAATTTCTGTTCATCTTCTATAGACGCCAACTCCAGCCTGGGTACTGGAGAGCCAGGTCGAATAACTTTCTCCAGGTTCATATAAACACTGGAGGTCTCCTTCCAGACAGAGTCAGTGATTCTTAAAACCTCTATAGGGTACAGTTCCGCTACCTTCATAATAGTCTCCACAGAAAGATTTAAAAATGTTTGCCATTCAGTTTCCTGATTAATTTCCGGGTTAATAATATTGTTTAATTCTTCCAGCTGTCCGGCGTTATATCTGAACTGTAATTTCCGAAGGATTTGATAAACCAAGGATAGAAGAGCTTCCTGATATCTAGATACAAGAATTCTACCCTCTTCTTTATTCAACTCTATAGATCCTTGAATGTATTCAACTACGGTACACCATATTTCCATACAGGAGGAGAACCCTGGTATACTGGGCTGTTGGAAACTGTATTTAAACATCAAGGATAGGAACTCAAGAAGTGGAAACTGAGCATTGTTCTCGCAACGTTTTAGATGAGTAGATACAAAATATTTGAGAAAATCTGTAATTTTATCCAGGAACTCCTCCTCAAGAGACATGCTTCCCTCACCATCCACTCCTGAGACTATATCCTGGAGGATAACCAGGGTTCCCCTGTACACACTGAGAAGATAGTCCTGAAAGTCTAGAGGAATGTAATTTTTCGCCATGATTTCATTCACAGCCTCCATTGCCAAAACAGATAACTCATTTATACCTTGCTCTGTTCGTTTATTTTTCATTATAAGAGAGGAGAACTGAAACAGAACGTTGATTACTCGGGAGTTGACGGCAAAATGAAGATCAGCCCAACAAAATATCTGAGAGAAGCACTTGAGACAGGTTGAGGATATCAGGATGGATTGGGGATCCAGGTTTCTAGTTGGACTTAACCTTGATTCCTTATTTAATGTTCCCATATGAATGGTTGTAGTAGAGGTAAACATGTTCCCATCCATGGAATTACTATCCTCTGAATCCCCTGACAATGATGGTGAGGGTGGAGGTGTAGTAGTACTACCAGGAGTGTCTAGGACGGACTCCAGTATATTGGTGAGGGTAAGGCTGATGTGGGAAACCTGCTGGTTCATTAACTTCTTCAGCTCACAGGCCCTGGCATACAATAAATGTTAAATGGAATGAAGACGTTTGTAAAGTGACTTTATTTGAAAAGAGTGATATGTAAGATAAGATAAGATAAGATAAGATAAGATAAGATAAGATAAGATAAGATAAGATAAGATAAGATAAGATAAGATAAGATAAGATAAGATTAAGATAAGATAAGATAAGATAAGATAAGATAAGATAAGATAAGATAAGATAAGATAAGATAAGATAAGATAAGATAAGATAAGATAAGATACCCTTTAAACATTTATCTGAGTAACAGAGAGAAAGATTTCGATCTTGAATTCTTACATTTTGCTTCATAGTCTCTACAGCAAATATCTGCAAATTTTATGAAACCTCTATGTAAAAATATCAATTATAACCAGAAAATGAGGATATGTTATTTGATCTTAATCAGACCTATGTTGTGAATTGGACTTACGAAATGAAGGTGACTTGAAGTTACGCCTCATTAACTATTCCAATGTGTGTTTTGATTAAAGTTTCTAGCATCCCAAAAACGTCGCTGGTTTCTATTATTTTAGTTTGGTAAATTTTATATCCCAGTAAAAACGATTTTTGATTCTCTGGGGAAACATTATAGAAGTTTTTACATCCTTTATGATAATTTTTATACATAATTTCAAGGGGGGGGGGGATGATCTGGGGAAACAGATCCTTCTAGATACTATATACTAAAAAAAATTAATAAATTTTCCCCTAAAAATAATTTATTTTTCCCCATTTAGCGGAAAAAATCCTTTAAAACTAACAGGATAACATTAACTACTGACAAAAAATGATTTTTAAACAGGGGGATGGAGAAATGATTTGTTTTGAACATATATACACCCCTGGGGGAAGGGGTTCTTTGTACCTTGAGGTTGAAATATCCTCCCTAGGTGTCCCTAGCTCTTCACAAGCGGTCAGCAGCATATTCAACCCGTCCAGTATACTTTCCTTAACCAGGAATACAAAATACAAATAGATCATTGATATTTAGGTTGAAGAACAAAATTTTCTAAAAAATCAAACCAATCTAGACTAAAATGAAAAAATGTCTCAAAATAATCAAACAGGGTTTTCATCTAATTTCTAAACATCAGAAAGTAGTTCAAAAATATTAGGCATTTTTGTTTGGGGAGGGGGGGAGGGTGACTTTGTCCTACGACTAGCAAATTGAATCTGTCACACTCCTGATCAGAAAATACTTCTATTCTAAGATTATACTTCTATTCTTCAAAGGAAAAAGCAAAAGCAAACATTTTTTCAACTTTGTAAATAACACCTGGGTATTAATAAGCCGAAAGATTTGAGGAAAGAAGTCTGGGTAGAAATGCGGCCAATCAACCTGAAACAAAACGTACTCGGGCTACAGGAGCGCGTCGCGGATTTTTCTGTTTTTCTGTTAAAATTTGTAAAAATCAAGATTTTTTTCAAGGTAAAATTGGGGCGTTTATACATTATTAAATATAAAGCATCAGCCAAGGTAAAAATAAATACAACAAAAGTTCTTGAAATTAGAAGATTCGAATAAATTACCTTTGCAATATCCACTATTAACTTCATGATCTTGTTTCTGGGGTAGTTTTCAATTTAATTGATTGATTAATTGAACATGTGATTAATTGATTGTTTGAAAGGATAAAAGTACATAAGAGCACTAAATGAAATAAAAAAGATTAAAGATTTCAAAAACCAGATTTTTTAAGTTTCTGCACATTTCTGCATGGACTCAAAGCAGTTATTCCATTGGCAGAGCCGGAGCAGAGGTGTATAATTTCTCGAAATATAGATGATTTTTAGGGGAAAAACAAAGAGTTTTTCAAACCATCAAAAATCATTCTGAAAAATATACACCTCTGTGGGCCCTGGGGGAGGGTACAACTTCGCCCCTGATGAAGGAAGGGAATCCCTTGTTGTTGTTCGAAATGAGAACATGAAGGTTAGTTCTAATTTCAGTCTTTTCCGTCGCAATCATCACAAACCACCGCCGCTGAATGACCTGAATAATAAGTGCAAAATCGACCACTTTAATTCCGATCATAAAAGGGACTGTGGATGTAATTTAATAAACTAGGATTTGAAGAGTGGCGTGATCGACTCACAACCTAGTACCCTTAAATTGTTTTCTGACCAAGAATACTCGAGCTATCCATCATTCTCTATTAAAAAAATCGATTATTTTAAAATGTGGATTCTCTGTCACGTGACTTGCGGATTTAAAAATTCAGAAACAATGGGAGGAAACTGTATCACTTTTCAAGCCATAAAGATAACGATTTTTAAGATAATATAACGGTTTAAAACGTTAGCGTTGTGAATCGAGCATTCTCCTCTTTAAATGTAAGTCAACTTAAAATAACAACGACATGTCTTCTACAATGCTTAGGTACTAAAAATATATAATGCTTTCAAATACACACGTGGTTTTGTTAAAATTATTAAGAGAATACCTTCATGATCTCTGGATTGTAAATTATATTTCAAAAAGAGATTTTAGAAATAATTACCTAATAAAAATCCATTTTGTAAAACTAAAAGTTGAACAGAACCGGATCAAAATAAATTAAAAATAATTTAACTTGACTCAACATTTCCTGAAGCTGTTCTCGAGCCTAACTAGTTAAAAACATAAAAACATCTTTAGTCAGAATGATAACACCGATGATAATGATACCTGTTCTAAGATGGTGAGACAGTACATAGAAACATAATGATTTGAGGAATGATTGAGGAAAAACAAAGAATCTCGCCATGATGAATTCTGTTCAGAAAACCTACTCAACATGATCTCTATCTCTCGTTTCCGTTCATTCCCTAGATATAACCAAGGGTAAATACATTATTAACGCTGTTAGGTGTTTTCCAAAAGACATTTTTCCAAGGACGACTTCCCAAGTCTGCAATGGGGGGGGGGGCTGCGGCTTGGATGAGCTAGGGGACCGAGCGCTGTGACTAGGGACGTTGCCGCTTATTAAATTGCACATTTGAGAAGTGAACACTTGGGAAAATACCCTTGGGAGCTTGTCGCTTGGGAATATACCTTTTGGGAAGTACATATCATCTTAAAAACAATTAAATAATATATGATTTTCTTATATACTAAGATATCTAAGATACTTTAAGGCCCAACAAATCAACAAATTATTTATTTCCTTTGGCAATTACTTCATAAGGATTCATAAGGAAGTGAAATCTGTAAGAGGTACCAATTGCTTACTTCTTCTAATTCAGTGATTTTATAATTAAAAAAAAAATATTAACGCAGCGTGACAACAAAAGTTAAGAAACTAAGGATTATTAGTCACAAAGATGTAGAAAATAATTCATAATTTTGATAATTTAAATGGAGCACTTGTGTATATATATATATATATATATATCTAGGAAATTACCGACAAACCGATGGCAAACATAAAGTCTAGAACTATTTACCTTCACCATCGGCACCTAAAGTCAGTAAAAATGTTTCCTGGGGCCGGGAACTCGGTAAAGCCACCACCACAGGAATATTCTTAGCTTGGTTTGAAATTCTCAGTTGAGTGCAGGTCTAATTTTGTAGGGAAAATAGCTAAAATAGTTATTTCTGCCCAAGCGCGGGTAAACGGCGGGAGTGCAACTGTGAGTTCCCCGGGTAACGCTGGGTTCTGAGCTATTATATAATAAAAAAAAACCTGTGAGCGGAGAAAAGAATTCATTCATCAAGGTTTCCAACCCTCGCATATTCTCCTCACCCTCCATCCTCCTTCACCACCTCGTATTCTCCAAGCCGTAAAATTTGTTTCACTGTACCACGACTGGACCCGGGCGGGATTAGATTTTCAATTCTAAGCCCATTATTTGTTCTGAAAACATAAAATGCACGTTCGAAATTTTTAAAACTTGATACTTTAGATATTCTTTATTAAATAACTAGCAGAACTTTTAAAATAACTTTTAAACGCCCAAAGTGGTTTCGATTTCTCAGTTTTGATACACAGAAAAGCGCATAATTTGCTCAGAATGCCGCAACCAATTCTTAAAAAGTGTTTATTCACGGCGGTTATTTATCGAGGATCGTTCGTAACGGTCCAACTGGACCACAGAGTAGAAAAACAATAGAGTGCTGATAATTCCAAAGAAGTGATGAACTAAATTATAACAGCCATTTAGTTGTACCGTCATCATATCCATCATACTGAAAGAGCCACATTTGTTGTCTACATTAATTGGGATCCTGGAATTGAACTCATGGAACTCATGATGCTCCTTCTGGAAAAACAGTTATCTTGAAAATGACTAGACTAGTTTCAATCTTATCTAAAATTATAGATTTCATTTAATCTAGACACCTAGCTTAAAGTCTATTCAATTAACTTGTTCAAATATGAAAATCTTTCAAATAAACACAAAAATATGTTATTGAATCAAAAAATGTTCAAATGTGTGTATTATTTCATTGTCAGGGCAGGTTAAAACAATTTCTGGACTGAGCGAGATGCAGCTTGGACAGGCATGGGGGGCCTGGCACTGCTGCTACCAGTTCATATGAACATAAAAATGATTAAAATGAACCACAAAATAGTTCTAATGTATGTATTATTTTATGCGCGGGTTGGTTAGGTTAAGACAATTGTCTGGACCGAGCGCTCCAGCGACTCCAGCTCCTCCAGCCGAGTGCTGCGGCTAGTAGTTCAATGGAACCAAAAAATAGTTAAATGGAAATGCTCAAAACTTTTATTAGTTTTGAACTATATTTCATTCGAACTTTTTTCATGTTTATTTGATTTAAAAAAAAACTATTTTTTGTTCATTTGAGCTATTTTTTTATTCATTTAAACTAGTATTTTTAATGTTCATTTGAACTATTTATTTGTAGATTTTAACTATGATGTTCATTTGAACTATTTTATATGCACTTTTGTACTAATGTATGTTAATTTGAACTGAATTTTTAAGGCTCATTTGATTTAATATTGTGGTTTATTAATGCTCAAATAAACAACTATAAGAATATTTTAAAGGAGCATGAAAAAAAGACGTTTGAACTATTGGTCGCTTGAACTACTCACGTGTGGACTCTCTTTTCCATAGTTTTTTGGGTCTTACTTTAAAGATATATTAAAAACATGTTGACAAAGGATTAAGAACAGATATATTTAATTAAAAGTTGATTAAGAACAGTAATAAGATATTTATGATTTAGTTTTAAAAATTCTTATAAGATACATAATAAACCATTTACATTTACATCAGATTCAGGGGTGGCTTGTGATTTTCTCTTCTGACAATCATTCCCCCCTCCCCCCCCCCCCCTCAAAAAAATGTAGGTAGCAGAGTTAAGAGAGAAATGTTAGTTTGGTTTTTCCGCTTCATACATATACTGTCTTTTTAATTATTCCTAATAACTATTTAAGTTTTATAAATGACATAAATTTTAATGAAAGTCAACTTGCATAAAATCAGTGAAAAAACACTTTTAACATCAACATCAAGGAATAAATTTTTTCAAAAATGATTTGGTTATCCTTGAAAAAGTGCAAAAGTGTTTTATGAAATCTCAGGATCAACCAAGCTGTTGTAGAATAAGGTTAATTACTCTTAATGCATCCAAATGTACTGAAAATATCGTCTCCTGCAGTAGATAAATAAAAACATGATATGACGTCACTGATTAAAGAGACAAGAGTGACCTCATATGAGGTTTTTATCTATCTATCTCAGAAAACGACATTTTCCGTACATTGGAGCGCATCGAGAGTAACCAACCTTATTGTACATTATACAACCTTGGGATCAACACACCTTTAGTATAGTAAACATATTTGTCAGAATAACTGTCATTAAGAATAAATTGTAATTTGACTAAATTTTTAAACAAAATTACATTCATAGTTGTTAATTATCTTGGGACACTGTGAAAGTATTTCAAAATAATTTTAGAACTGATTCACAATCAATAAATTAGGTACATATAAATAAATTAAGACTGAAAATATTGCACCATATTGATTTAGATTGTTTTCAGCTTTTAGTACAAATCTTATAACAAAACCAAAACTAATCAGCAGATTGTTTTATTCATAGATTGATTAAAATAACAGATAGGACACTAGATGTCGTCTTTTCAAGATTTATATGTGTTCCGTTCACAAAAACCCTGAGGCAGAATCCCAAAGAAGTTACAAGTAGTCGGCGTAGAACGGCGCTCTGTCTGTCTGTTCTACGCCGACTACACGTAACTCCTTTGGGCTTTTGTCTCAGGGTTATTGTGAACGAAACGCACATAAATCTTGAAAAGACGACATCTAGTGTCCTATGTGTTATTTTAAATAAACTATGGCTTTATTGATTTCGTACGGAATATGAGCATAAAAAGGGGTGGATTAACAAATAAAGTTATATTGTTGACCCAAGAATATTGAAATAAAACTGAAACCGCCACCTAGAAATCTTGAAAACTTTTCGTGACCCTCCATGCAAGGATGGCAATGTTCTATTTGAAACGGTACTCTAAAAAGCTTTGTCTGATCAAATATGAAATAAATTTTCATGTTTCTGTATTTTCAAACTGTTCATTTTATTTGCGGGTTCTACGCGAAAGTGATTTGCGCATTTATTAAGAAGCAATGGAGAAACTCATAGAAAACACTTTTCGAGTCAGAAAAACGATGTCATCTTCCACATTTTCTATCAAATTAAGGTTTCAAGGGTTCTGATAGAAATCGGAAAATGCGACCTTTGCATGGAGGGTCCCTTAACTAAATAAATACAAATTTTCTCTCAGATCAAACAAAACCAGGTTGTGCTTTAAGTGCTTAGGATCTTCACTTGACTATTATTTAGTTACGGATTAGACTTAGATCCGGATCCTATAAATTTTAGGAATGATCCGGATCTAAATACTTTTTTAGAAATGATCCGGGACCGGATCCCTTTTCTCTCAGGAATGATCCGGATTCCAATCCATTTCATTTTAGAAATGATCCGGATACGAATCAGTTTTCTTTCAGTAGTGAATGATCCGATATACTTTACAAATCTAACTAATTAAAATATTTCTCTTATAAAAATTTGTCATGGGAAAAGACGAATAGCCTTGAAAGTGATTGTACGAGGAATAAAAGTGCTCAAAGATTTCTATACCTTTTATCTACAAACAACCAAGACCCTTTTTGAATACATTTATAAGAGAGTTAAGTGTATAAACGTAAAAAAGGCAACATTGTACTTTAAAATGAAATTCGCCCTCTTGTACGCATTAATTTTGAACTGGTCGTAGGTATACAGTACAGTACAAGGCAGTGTGCACTGTGCAGTTTGTGTACAGTAAGGAATGTAGTAAAAAGGGTCTGTCAACATAATATTCAAGATCCAACGAATTGCCGATGACGTCAATATTTTTTTAAGTTATAAAATAAAAGGAACTTGCGATATTTCACATAAAAGAGAAGCAAGAAAATGTCAGGAATAATTTCTATTAAGCTTATTCCAAATACGTTGACAATATCTTTAATCACGAAAAAAATAGAAGTATTATTTTAAAAACCAATTAAATAAGATTGTGCAATGTGCACCTTTGACTTAGAATAAAATAGGTATGGCGGGTCAAGGGGACTGTCCTTGTAATTTTAAGTAACCCTAAATTTTTAGAAGGAGCATGCCCGGATTCACAATGGTACCTTTACGACGTCGATTTACTAGCATGACAAGTGTTTCCAAAAACCAAAAACATAGAAATCTATTTCCTTCTCGATCATAACTAACTATGCTTTAAGGGTACCTTTGTCAATCGGGAATGCCCTTCTTGAAATTGAGGTTCAATCAAAATTGCGTTTACAGTCCCTTTAAGGGATACAAACGAAAGAAAATACTTCAAAGACGTCTTTACAAAAATAATCAACTTTCTTTTCCTACATTCCTGATTCTCGGAAATTCAGAACTAGTTTCTTTCCTTGCCAAAACAAAGACAGAGGACCGAATTCAACCTACGGCTCGTCATTGAAAGAATTTTGGTCGTCATTCCAGTCTCATCCTGTGTGGGTATCGTGGTAAGAAACCTTGGTCTTTAGTATACAATGCAATCTTTTCCAAAAACAAAAAGGTGATAAGTCCCTTTGCAATATGAATGTTTGTGTCTGTTATTCTTGTTTGTCTGTCTGCTGTTTGCTTCCAAAGCTTTTGGTCAGCTCACTACGAAGTTTGGCAAAGGTTGGGGACACACCAGTTTCCTGGAAACAAAATTCAAATTAATTTAAAAAATAAAATAATAAAAATTAAAAACTGATTTTAAATAAATTTGTTTTTGCAAATTAAATAAATTGAGGGTATTTCCCAAGTTCAATTTGGTATAATTTATTAACTTTGGAAGCTGGTTACTCGGCTCAAATTCTAATCCTAACATCTTTGCAACTTGAGGTCGTAGACCTTTATTGTTGCCAACTACAGTGATAACAAGAAAACTCTGAAATAGGAAGACCTCTTTTAGAGTTAAACTATGACTTTAAATAGTCCAATAAGCATGGTTAACATCAATTGTGCAGTTTAAACAGACTCATTTCACTTTATTAGTGATATAATAAGTGTCTTGTAAAAACTTATTAAACTTAAGTTCAAGCTATGAAATCGTCTTCCTATTTCAGAGTTGTCTGGTTATCACTGTATGAATACTGCTAAATTAAGTAGTCAAGGTATAAAATGAAGAAGAAAATTTGCGACATCAGATTGTAAACATATAAGGATCAGCAAAGTTTGAGACGAGTTGAGTCTTAAAAATTCTAAACCGATTGGCTTTGGCAACTTCGGAGGTGTCGATGAAAATTTTCAAAGATGCCAAGGTAAGAGAAATGACAAGTAAGAGAAATCATTAAGACTCGTACCGATTTTTCGAAAACTTCTTAACTAATGTTAAAAAATCTGAAGTTTATACCAAAAAAAAGAATTTGAGTTGAGTAATCAGTTCCTTTGATATGATTTTCTATACATTCTATACCTGGTTTTCTGAACTAGAGGTTTCACGAGTAGAGGAAGAACCAACACCTAAATATATTTATTGTCATAAGCTCTGTTTTAGAGGGTCGTTTATTTTTGTTCATGTGGTTATACGGTCATACGCTCATTCGGTCGTATTTTCCTACGGTCATAAGGTGACACAATAAGATGGTCATCTGACCATCTGGTCATGCGGTCATATTGTCAAACGGGAAACGTTTATTAGTTCATACGATTAAACGGTCATACAGTTCAATGTGGTCATAAGGTATTACAGTCATACTGTCATATGGTCATACAGTCACCATGGTCATGGTCTAATTAATTGTCATTTATTCTCACGCTATCAAATTTTATGACCCCCTTAATGTACCTGGAGAATTTACATTGGTTTCATTTACAGTGGTTTGCAGGGCGGCAGGGGTTAACCATTCCTACAAATATCAGAAACTACAGAGTGTACCAAGAAACAGGAAAAAGTGATCTAAGACATAGCTTTATCCAAATTAATCTTTTTAACGTTTTGCATTTTTCAACCATTTCATCCGCTTAGCAACATTGAAGTTGAAACGCCTTAAACATTGCCACTATTTAAGCCAATAAATTACGATACAAAAAGTGTCATAGTCCATCAAATCGGCCACAAAAAGTATCTTAGTCCATAAACCTACCACAAATTGACAATTGTCAAAGAATCTCATTTTCCAGAAAAGAGTTTATTCATCCAAGCATAAATAAGCACTAATTGTAGTAAACATTTTATTAATTTTGAAAATTCTATTTTAATTTAGTGGCTCAACATCTCTTCACAGTTGTATGAGTCAAGATTAATCTTTTTTATTAGGGTTTCAGGTGGTGACTGTTGTTCCAGCATGAGAAAAGTAAATTAATTTCTGATTTTGATATTTTCTAATGAATAAATGTTTGAATAAAGGGAAAAGGAACATATTTTTAAAGAAAGTGCTAAGATTTTTAGAAACATGTTAATTTTCAAATCAACTTTTTCTTACCTTAGGAAGACATCGTTGAAGAAACGGTACACAAGTTGACATATATGCAAGCCGGTTAACCCAACCAGGAACATCCCTTGGTAATATAAACACAGTCAGAGGTCCACATAATTCCTTCCAATGCGATCCCAATTGTTGATTGATTGATATGAGGGGCAGAATTTCACTATATTGTTGTTTTAAACAATTGGAAGTAAGATGTCAAGTTGTAGAAAAAATTCGATACTGCAGAAAGTTTACGACAAGGGAGTGTTTATTTATCTGTTTAATTATCTCTTATCTATATAATAAAACAAGACATTCATATATATGTCGTGTATAGCCGGCCAAACGACTGGACCGAATGGGCTGACATTTTTTGTGGACACTCATGTGTAGCCGGGGGGTGTTAAAGGCTAACATAAAAAAAATTCCACGGGCAGCAACAGGCCCTCCAACTAGTTTCTAGTTATTCTGTTTAATTTATCTCTTATATTGATTATTAGTATTTACATCTTCTTAAGACCCCAAAGCAGTACATATTTTTAAAGGGTAGTACCAAATGCAATACGTATTTCTGAACTGAAGTACTAAGTGTATTTTCCGTCTCAACATGTTATACTTTCAAGAGATGGAATTATATGGACCCCTAGATCACAGATTAAAATTTATAAAATTTTATACAGTTGCTATTTGCCTTAAAAATAAAGAATATATAATTATAAATTAAATCACCAAAAAAATTTTCTTCAGTCGAAGGTGAAAAAAACATATTTATAAAAAAACACTGAAAAAATAAAAAATTAAGGGGTAATGAAATTTTTGACAGATTGTTCTATGAGAACTATTAAATAGGAAGACGATATTTAACCACTTTGTGCGTATAAGGACGACATTAAAGCAATATTGTGTATATCAGGACGACAGTTAAGCAATCTTGTGTGCATTTGAAGTTAAAAGCAAATATTTTTCCCAATAGATTGAAAATATTTATTAATTGAAATGGGCCTTTACTGCATCATTACTGTGATTCAAGTTCCTTGGACTATCTAAAATCATAGCTTCAGTCGAACAGTCGTCCTCCTGTTCTAATTTTGTAGGTCCCGTGTATAATGTGTAAATGATCTCAATACCTGCCGCAAAGAATCTGACTAAAAGCTCCGGTAAAATGATTGCAGTTTTTAGACATCAAATGATATCTATCTCCACGAAATTCCTACAAAAAATGATATCAAAAATTAACTGTCCGACAATTTGAACATTATAAGGAATCATAAGGAATTGAAATCTGCAAGAGACCCCATTGTGGGCCCCCCAGACCGCCCAGAAAGCAGGGTGCACTGCCCCGCCCCTGTTCTAACTTGTCTGTTTCTTTGTAATTATGATTCCCTGCAACTGTAAACTTGTTTCTTTCTTTGCCTAATCATTGATTAATGCTTATATTCGAGCAGACGCGTACAAAGGGGGGGGGAGGGTCATTGTCCTCTTGCCCCCCCCAAGCTAAAATCGTGTGTAGGCACCTGTATTCGAGGCAGAAGTCTTAATTTAACCTTGTGGGTAATAAATATATAATTATATTTTTACTTACTTCGCATCACGAGGTTGTATATCGAAAACCCCCGAGAATGGAAAAGGATGTCCACCTAAAAATCAAAATTACTAAAAAACTTCAAAATGTTGATATCATCCAGACTACAAAGGGTCGAGGATTACTTCTGTTTTTATAACGCACAAAAAAACTATTTTTTATAGGTAAAAACCAAAAAAAAATGTGCACTAATTTGCATGTTTTAATGATCTCCTTTTTAATTTTACGTCTTTGTTTTATATTTTCTGCTAAAGTAAAAATTGGACATTTTCTTTAATTTAAAATATTAAAAGTGTTCGTTTTCAAAAGAATGAAAGTAATATTAAAGGGAGTGACCGGCTATGCAAGGTAGTTGAACTGAGTATGCAGTGTTGTGGAACGGAATTCTGAAAACGTATCCACCCAAAAGTACAATTTTGAACTTCGATTTTGCGCTCAAACTCAGGATTGACAGATCTTTAAAAAGTTTAATATGTCTCAAATGAATCCGAAAGAAGTTTTCCACAACTCTAGGCATACTTAGATCAACTAGCCGGTCACTTCCTTTAAGAAATCAATCAACTTACCATAAGCGTACTCCCTGCCGTAGACCTCTAGTCCTGAATGATAAACCCCTACCCCGACATTGGCCGTGTAGTCGTTGGTCCAGAACATATCGTATACATTGAGTATAACCGGCTGCCGGGCAACTTCAAGTTTCGTTTCTTCGTCCATCTCCTCAGCTAAATATTAAAGGGACTGTTAGCGTAATTTCATGCAAAAAGTTTAATTCCCAATCCATAATAAAAGTAAGAAATGTTTGAGCGGAGCAAAATTATCGCTATGCTTATTTCTCTCTCAATTAAAAGAAATACNCCCCTTTTTGAAATTATGCTCCCAAGCAATTGTGAATAATGAAAAATTAATCTGCAATCCGATTTTTAACACACTAAAGTTCAGAGGGTTACTCACCATGGTCTGGTCTACAGAAAGGCAGTTTATAACTTCCATTCATCATTTCTATTCTCCAAAAAGCTTCTTAAAAGTAAACAGCTTCACCAAAATACTTGCAGCTTCTCAAAACGGCTGGCAGCTCCTTTCAGCAAGAAACAGCTTCACAAATTCATCTTGTCAAAACTGAAAAACACCAAGAGTTGAACCTCAGCCTTAGAATCTTAAATTTTGCCAAAAAAAAACGCATAAAAAGTTAATTTGAACATATTTAATGACGTTATTGGTGAGTCAACTTGTTAAAGAAGGGGGAGGGATTTGTATTGATATGGGTTGAGTGTATAAAGGCTCGATATGTTGTGAGTCTACGCAGTTTTATTTCATGAACAATTGCCGCGTAATGAATTTGAATTTTTGACATTACATTAATTTCATATTACTATCATATCCTCTAAATGTTTATCATCTAGAATGGGGGGAACAAAATAATTTAAGTTTAAATAATGATATTAAATTTGTACTGCCATTTTACAAATCATATAACGGCTATCGATGTAAATAATTTTTTTGCGTAGACTCTTGTAAGCAAATCATTTGTAATCCCTAATGTTTACATTTTACTGTGCAAAAAAATCTCATCAATATTTTGGTGGATCTTTTAGCCTGTTTGAGAGTTCTTTTATTTTGTTAAAAATTATGTGGTACAAAATGTAATTAAAATGACTCATCTTGAAGTTTTACTGTATGTCATTGATTTGATCAACACTGACCTATTTTGTGTATTTCTCCAGTATTTAGTCAGTGTTCTCCTAGCAGTGGCGATTTTAAGGTAAGATATATTAGGGGCGGATACAGTAAAACGACAGGACCTTGGCACCCACCTGACGGATTTAGGGGGGGGGGGTTGGGCTACTGAGAATTCAGAATAGCTCCTCAATAGCACAGACTAGGGAAAGAAAACCTAGTGCAAAACAGGAAAAATATCTATCTTTAAAAAAATGTTTGTCTTTTTGTTCCTAAATCTGGATTTTTTGTTCATAAATAAATCTAGCACCCCCCTCACTTTAATCCTGTATCCGCCCCTGTAAGATATATTATACTTAATTTGTACGTGCACCCTCCCTCCCATTTTAATGAACACTAAAACTTGAATTTTCTGGGCCCCTTGATATGTACAGAGCGTCCTCGATATCATATATTATTCCTTTCCAAGCTTTAACGCAAAAAAAACACACTACTCGAAAAAGCCTTATTTAATTTTGCAAATCAGATGTGTTAAATCATGGGCTGATATAGGGTGTCCCACGAAACATGACAGTTGTAAGACGACTCGAAGGTTGTCTTGATTTTTTAAATAATTTGCTTCATATAGTTTTTAACCAAATTTAGAAGTAAATGTTAGAGATAGTAAATGACAAAGAATTCATAGTCCTGGCATTTCCAAAAAGTGGTCTGCCTTTTTTGTGCTTTCAAATTTGACCAAGAAATGAGAAATGTTTCTTACTTTTCGACTATATTTGGTGTACTGCCTCGTTTTGCCTTGTAAAGTCAGTATGTAATACAGATCAGTCCGCCACTTCAAATCAACCGGAGTTCACAGTGAAAAAATATTATATCTCCGGTAATACTGACAGTGAAAAAAAAGGCAGACCACATTTTGGAAACGCCAAGACTATGATAAGCGTGTGGTAATTGTTTCAAGAATCATGAATGTTAAAGTATCGGTTGACGACTGAATGTCACAAACAAAATCAAGTATAATAGATGACTTTCAAGTCGTCACGCAATGTCATATTTCGTGGAACACCCTGAAGAAGATCAGGAAAAAAGTGTGTAAAAAAAGTTACGCAAATTCAAGACTCAATAATTCATCTAAACTGAATTAAAGTTTATGTATGCTCTGATATCCACCCATGTACTCCTTCAGATATATTCCTTTTCCCTGGAATGAGATGGAAGGGAGGGGGGGGGGGGGGGGGGTGCAGGCTTCATTTTTTTAATGCTTTATTTTTATCAGATATTCTGGAATTTTGAGAAATAAATTTGAAGACGAGAAATATTTGAAGAAATGTGACACAGTCATGGGAAAACAGTTTGCCAGGACAAATTTCAGGTATTACGGTTGGTTCCTTTCCTTTAAGGAAGGGGAATTAAATATCTACATATTAATTTGGCTTGTCTGTCTGTCTGTTTTTTTCATCCAACTCTAGGCTTTCAGGGCGCTTTACGCCCATTCCCATTTCAATTGTAAACATTTTCTCATTGTATAACACATTGTAAAACAAAAACAAATCACAAATTCGCTGATTTCATAAGAAAATTTTGTGTATTTTCAAAATCAGATGAAAATCGAATTTTGTTGAGGCAAATTTTTCAAATTTTGATCATCCAATAAACCTTCCCTGGGGACATATGAGGTCCCACTCAAAATTTGGGCCCGATCGGTACGGCCGTTTTGACTTATGTTGTTTACAAACAAACAGACAGACAGACAAGCAAACTATTTTGAGAGATAAACGTCTGAACGACTTAATTTATCGGAACCAAATTGTTTGTGGAATCTTACATGGCCCCATGCAGGTAAGGTTTATAGCTGGATGAGGGGGGTGGGTGGCAAGCCGCACCCGTATAGCCTCCATCCCGCAATTTGCTCACAAACATAGAGTTGCCCTCACCCGTAGCGCTTCCTTAGCCGCACCCCTATATTCTCCAACAAATTGTCTTTACTTTTAAACGTTTATTATAGAAAAATGCAGCAATAATTTAAGACTTTAAAGACGTCATGGCATCTATTGGAACCTACATTAATAATAATTTTTTGGGAAATATGAGAATTGTATCACTGTAAAACCATCTTCTAATATTATAGTTGGTTAGAGAATGTGATCAAGGGAAAAAATGGTGGTCCGACCCATATAGAAATGTTAACGGAGTACTTGAATAAAGAACAGCTTCCAGGCTCTGCAGAAGATGTCGTCTGTCCTAAGGTGTAAATAAACAGTTAAATTGAAAAAAAGGCATTTAACAAATTCTTTACTATAAATACAACTTCTAAAAAAAACCTTCCCCCCCCCCGTAAGTCGTCTTTACCAAAACCTCCCTCGGAGAAAACCCAAACCAAAGCAAGTACTCTCCGACAAAGAAACAACAAACAGGGAAACGTTTTACTAAGTGAAAGATCAAATCCATAAACAACTTTGCAATCAATAGTTAATTCCACTTACAAATATTTTCAACTATTCCATCAAACTCAATCCCTGATCACTTTTTTCACTACTAATGTGTCCGAGTTGAGGAGCCCGATCAACGAACCTATTGTTCAAAGAACCTATCGAGTATCGACCAACCAACCAATTGACAACCAGCCAACCTAACAAATTATTGTCGACGCCCACCTATTATTTTACACATATACTGTTTAATCTATGCATTGCACATAAACAAGGGACTACAGTAATAAAACCTCCAGAATAGGAAATCGTCTTTTAGACTCAAATTGTGACTTTAAATAATCCATGATGTCTATAAGACAGCAATTGTGCTGTGTAAACAGACCCATTTCACTTAATAAGAGAGTTAATAACTTACTAGTAAAAGTATTTGCTGTGTAACAACAGCAAATGCACTTCGGTATTGGAATCATGTCGTCTTCCTATTCTAAAGTTTTTTGATTATCACTGTATTTAAGCAATATAATAACTTTGGGTTTAGATAAAATTTGTTTATTTTCAGGTGTTCCTTATGTTTCCATTTTCCTTGGATGGTCGTTTTAATGGATCAGTTGAACAGTTATTGAAAAAGGTATTTAGATATTTGTTAAGTTAAACATATCTTTTTCAGATTATTGTTTTTTATCTTAGTACAACTATTTCATAATTACTTTTTGGACTAGCATATAGCAATGGGGGATATTTCGGCTCGTACATTTTTCAGTTTGAAATTTACCCTCCCAAAATTTGTTCTTTAGCCTCTGTAAAGACATTTTCTTTCACAACTTTTTAAAAAATCCTATTCAAACTGTTTTACTTTTTACAAATCTTTTCTTTAAAGGGACTTAATAACATGTACGCTGTCATTGTTTCCTTTAAAGGGACTGTATGCGTAATTTCAAGTGACTCTCCATGCAAAGATGGTAATGGCCGATTCACAACGGTACCCTTAGAAACTGTACCTCATATATTATCAATATATCATATATTATCAATATATGATATATAAAAATGTTAACATGAAAGCCATGAAAGAGGCGCATGATAGCTATCAACTCTACAAAACACACCAAACATGCAAACCTTTTTTAAGGTTCAGAACAAAAATTTTATTTTTATTTTATCTAGAGTAAACATGAGTACCCGTCTGAGGATTTCTCCGTCAAGTTCCGTGAAGTGGAGTTACCAGAATATATTATGAAAGGAATGATTTCTTGCTTTTCAGTCTTTCTAAAACTTGAAAACTGATTAGCATCGTTCTGAGGTCCGTTTTTAAACATTCAAGGTTTTTAAAAGGCTTAACTAGAATCTGAGATATTTTTCTGTTCTAAAATTATATACTTGAATAGTTTGCAAAATATATACTCCAAAGATATTAACAAAACAATTTTGCATAATTTAATAAAAGCAAACTTACAGAAAATCCAATGTTGCCGTGTGTGTTTTTTTAGAGCCCCTCATAGCCAAAAAAAAGTCTAAAAACGGGCAGCTCAAAATGATGCCCATCAGAAGTCCTAGATCAGTATTAGAGGGTGGGGACGGGGGGTGGGAGGAGGGGGCGCAAAAGTTAAAAATCATATTTTTTTGTCATAAAAAGATTTAGAATTCATCAGAAAGACATCATTAAATAAAAAATCTCCGCCCGCCATCCCCCATTTTTCATCAAAGTTGCATAACAATTTGTAAAATTGTAAAAAAAAAATTTGAAGCAAAAAAAACGGAAATCTTACAGGGCAGCGGAGAAAATCAACATTGTCTGTTGTAAAGTTTAGGAAAAAAGTTCAATATTTTTAATTTTTTGGTCACTTATTTTCAATATAAATGTTTATGATTATGTTTAAAACTTAAAGGGACTGTTTTACATAATTTTAAGGGACCTGTTTATAGAGTGGCATCTCCGATTCTCAACGGTTCCATCAAGGACGAATGAGATATTCATATTTGTCTGGCTAAAATTTGATTAATTTATTTGAGGTGACCTGTGGATTTATGTTGCAGAGAAAGTGAAGGAAAATGTGAGAATTAATTATTTTTCAATAAAGAAAGCAACGATATCTTCCTCATTATTATTTATTTTGTGAATCGGACATGATACTCTTTTTAAATGAATGGTTATTCTAACCTAAGTATACAATAATGTAAAACATTTTAAATCAGAATTTTTTAATTGAACTTTTTTATTGATCAGGAATAGGTCAACCGGAGGATTTCTGTATGCTGTGATTGCTGAGAATAGGTTAGTACATTGTACTGTGGAACCCCTAAATCTATAGAACAGGAATATGTATGTATGGGTCACACTTTAAAAAAAATCTCTTATTAAAAACAGATTTTTATTCCAAATTTGAAAAAGTATCAGAAATTTTGTATTAGAAAGTCCTATTTGCACAACAATACACTTCCAGTTAAAATAAGAGAATGTTATATTTTAATTAAAAACTTGTTGAATTCTAACAATTTCCTTTCATTGTCTCTGCTGTGTAAATCTGCGAGTTTCTAAAAAAGGAATTGAAACTTAATATAATACAAAGGTTTAAAGGGTACCGTTATGAATAGTGAAAGTATCCAGATGTACCGGCTTGTTTAAAAGAGAAACGGCAAACACTGTTTCTTACATTGATTATGTCCTAGAGGAGGTGTCTGAACACGGCACAGTGGCTTACTGAACATAATAATAATGTTCATGTTTAGTTTGTTAACAACCTTACTGAAGATGATAATAATGTTCATGTTTAGGTTTTAAACAAGCTTACTGAAGATGATAATATGTTCATGTTTAGGTTGTTAACAAGCTTACTGAAGATAATAAATAATAATGTTCATGCTTAGATTGTTAACAAGCTTACTGAAGATAAAAAATGATAATGTTCGTGTTTAGATTGTTAACAAGCTTATTGAAAATGAAGATAATGTTCATGTTTAGATTGTTAACAAGCTCATTGAAAATGATAATAATGTTCATGTTTAGGTTGTTAACAAGCTTTCAGGAAATGATAATAATGTTCATGTTTAGATTGTTAACAAGCTTGCAGAAGATTATAATAATGTTCATGGTTAGATTGTTAACACGCTTACAGAAGATGATAATAATGTTCATGTTTAGGTTATTAACAAGCTTACCGAAATTGATAATAATTTTTGTTGACAAGCTTACAGAAGATGATAATAATGTTCTTGGTTAGATTGTTAAAAAGCTTATAGAAGATGATAATAATGTTCATGTTTTGGTTTTTTACAAGCTTACTGAAGATAATAATGTTCATGTTTAGGTTGTTAACAAGCTTATAGAAAATGATAATAATGTTCATGTTTTAGTTTTTTACAAGCTTACAGAAGAAGATGATAATGTTTATGCTTAGGTTGTTAACAAGCTTACAGAAAATGATAATAATGTTCATGTTTAGGTTGTTAACAAGCTTACAGAAAATGATAATAATGTTCATGTTTAGGTTGTTAACAAGCTTACTGAAGAAGATGATAATGTTCATGTTTAGATTGTTCACATGCTTACAGAAGATGATAATAATGTTCATGTTAAGATTGTTAACAAGCTCTCAGTAGATGGTAAAAATGTTTATGTTTAGGTTGTTAACAAGCTTACAGAAGATGATAATAATGTTCATGTTTAGGTTGTTAACAAGTTTACAGAAGATGATAATAATGTTTATGTTTAGGTTGTTAACAAGCTTACAGATGATCAAAATAATGTTTATTTTAAGGTTGTTAACAAGCTTACATAAGAGAATAATAATGTTTATGTTTAGGTTGTTAACAAGTTTACAGAAGATGATTATTATGTTTATGTTTAGGTTGTTAACAAGCTTACAGAAGATGATAATAATGTTTATGTTCAGGTTGTTAACAAGCTAACAAAAGGGGATAATAATGTTTATGTTTAGGTTGTTAACAAGCTTACAGAAGATAATAATAATGTTTATGTTCAGGTTGTTAACAAGCTTACATAAGAGGATAATAATGTTTATGTTTAGGTTGTTAACAAGTTTACAGAAGATGATGACTGAACCAGGAATAAGGTTTAGGATATTCAGTATTTTTATTCATTTTGGGGGTATATGCATAGTGCATACCTTCGTTAACCATCGTTAAAGGGACTGTAAAGGAAAAATAAAAGGGGGTATAAGCTGAAACCTAAGAATCTCAGGAGTTAAACGATACCTTTAAGACATCTATTTGTTGCTTGTTTCGAGAAATTTACATAAAACTGTGTCCACTCTTTCTAGTTATAACTTAATTGTTTGGTTGTTAAATGGCCTACACACTGTTTTATTTTTCTTAAATGTACGGATTGTAGGGATTTTTTTTTCGAAAATTCTACTGATTGTACGGATTTTTTAAAAAATGTACGGATTTGTTCAAAAAAATGTAAGGATTGTACGGATTTTTTTCGAAAATTGTACGGATTGTACGGATTTTTTTTCGAAAATTGTACGGATTGTACGGATTTTTTTCGAAAATTGTACGGATTGTACGGATTTCCTCTGAAAATGTACGGATTTTTGTACGGATTTTTTCAAAAAAGTTTTGGCCACCCTGTATATACGTTTTGGTATAATTTTGACACAGTTTTATATCAATTTCTCGAGACAGGAACATCAGATAGAACTCTTTCCTTTAGAGTCCCATTAGATTTAAATTTCAAAAAGCTATAAAAAACTAAGTCGGACGAGTGGTCACAAATGTTAAATACATAAGAAGACATTTATAAATTTTCCTAACTGCAGAATCTTTTCAAAAAAAAATCTTATAAAGTTCAAATTTACTTAAAGAAACATTTACAAAAACGATCGGTTTACTTAAATATCGTCAAACGTTCGTTTATTTTGAAAAAATTATCGACCGAAACAAAGAGGTGTATTTTTTCGTTTGTTTTGAGAAATATTAACAACCAGTGATCAAGATCTTTGAAAAAGCAGTTCAGGTGGAATTTTTTTTTATTTTGTAGCTACGACTTTTATGTCTATGTTATGAAATATCAACCATTTTTTGGTTTATCAATCTGAAAAAAAATACTTCTGAATCAAGGTTTAATGTGGACAACTACAAACTTCAATTTGAGGTAAAAAGATATAATAAAGAAGAACATTTTTCAAGGGACAACCTTTGTAGTTTGAAGTGACACAAAGAGGCGCAGCATGCCCTTTGAACCTCAATCCGAGCAAAAATGTGAAGATAACCTAATGTTTTCTAGTTTGAAAGTGTTTAATTCTGTCAATTTCTCCATTATTTCCGGAGCAAGAAATGCACTGGAGTAATGTTGTTTAGAATCCAAATTACTATAATTAGTTTTCAACAAGAAATACATGGATATCTAGTTCTTACTGGATCACTCGAGTGTTTGAGGGGTTGTGAATCGGACATTCCACTCTATCAATAACAATTCCATTATTTTAGATTTATGTGGAGGAAATGCGAACACTTCTAGGAAAGAAACTAAATTCATTTTTTAAGATAAAAAGTATAAAAGTAAATTTAACTTTCTTACGGCATTATGATAGATACAGTATCTCAACCTTACAAATATATGTTAAGCATCCTTTTTTCTTTTTTTAACATTAAAGTTTTTTGGCTTTCAAAAGCTCCGATAACATATTTCATTGTAAAATAAGGATTCGAACTGAAGAAAATAGACAAAATAATAGTTATCAATGGTTAAAATTTTATCACGCAGGCCTAAAAGTTTAAGCCCGTGTAAACTTATAGAGAATACAATTTAAAAATTTTCTTTTTGACCCTGACAGTAAATATGTGCAAAAAACGTACCAGAAATGATCGTTTTCAAACGATCGTTTTTTAGTTCGTTTTGCAAATAATATTTTCTCTTTGGGTCAAAATTCGATATAATGTAATGAAAGCAAATGTTTTGAAATCTTCATCTCGAAACCTTATGAAACCTTTAAAAAGTCCAAAAACCTTAAAATCCTTGAGAAACGAACGAAACTATATATGCCCGACATTACATGTTACAGCTGAAAGGGAGAGACCAGCTAGGCATGGTAGTTGAGCTGAAAGTGCAGTATTGTGGAGCTGTAGGATTTATTTGATTCCAAAGAGACATGTTTACAGTGTAGAATTTTTAAATACGAACGTATAGTCGTTTGTACTATTTCACTAGTTGTGTCAGTCCGCAAAAAAATGTTTTTTTACAACTATACCATACCGTGCCGGTCTCTCCCTTTAAAGACGATGCTTGAAATGTTTCCCCTTGTAAATAAGACTGTGACCCGATGTGTCGGAATTCTGTGGAAATTATACAATTTAATGAGGAAGACAATCTCAGGAAAATATTTTCTCTTTTTCAAGAATTATTAAAAAATTAACTTTACACGGGTGTTGTTTATAGGCGTTAGGGGTGAACAATTTTCCTGTAATCATTTTTTAAGAACCAAAATATGTATATTTAATACAAAGACAGGCTTAGAAAATGATTTTTTCGCACAAATTGAAAAATTGAAGAATTTATTAAAAATTGATCAAAAAGTATGGGAAAAAAACTATTACTCCTCTAAAAATGTGTTTCTAGTCCTAAATCATTAAAATAAAATAAAATTAATTCTGTAAATTGATTATAACTCGGATATTAAAACGGTTATAAAAATGGTTTTTTTATTTTCATTTTCACCTTTACTGGCAATTTCATTATCTACAATACAATTAAAACCAATTTACGACAGACATTTTTAATTTGTTTGTAAAATACAGTTTTGTAAACGTGTGTTAGAATTCCTAGAAGAATACTATTTAGTTTCTTGAAATGATTCCAGAAAAAAAAATCTTCTAATAAAAATAGACTTGAATGCATGTGACCCACCGATTTTAGAGTGACTTGTTTCATTTACAGTGTACACTCCATACCTGAGCCCACAACTTAAGACAGGGTATCATTAAAATACCCGGTTTCCGACATTGCAGATTGTAGATTTCAATATTTTTAAAGAAATATTATTTTAAATGGTTTGTTTTATTTTCTCTTTTTTTATTTCTTGATTCAAATCTTCTCAAATTTACTGACCCCAAAAAGGAAACTCGGTAGTTGCGTTTAATGATACTCTTTTATGTTTCCGGCTCAGTGTACACTCCATACCAGTGTACAGTACAGTGTACGTACAGTGTCCGCCGGCACTCAATGTTTAGCGAGAAAAGTAAGGATATCACCTTCATTGATGTTCAGACAACTTTAAAGGATACCAATATGAATCAGAATTTACAAATGGAGGGTCACTTGAAATTACGTTCACTGTCTCTTTAGGTTAACTTCGTAAAAGAGAAAATCATTTGAATTTAGTGAAATATTTGAACGAGAAATAACCAGACTATCAATACACAACCACTGAAATTCAAGAAATTATTAAAATCAACATTTTTCTACTTAATAGATTATTTCCAACTTGATCATTTTTTGAGAATTGAGTTTATTAACCAATTTTTTATTTCAAAGAATCCCTTTTTGTTTGTTTGTGAGAATTACCTAATTTCTCCACAAAATGATAAGCCTCGTTTTTTACTCTGCGTGTTGATGAGATTTTAAACTTTTGTCTTGTTTTTTATTTACAAAAATTTGTTTACTGTGAATGTAGCATTAAAACCATGTTAAACTGGACCTAAAACGACTGCTGTAATGCTATATACTGGTCTCAATTAACCCCCTCAACTCAAAGTAAAAAAAGTATGAACTGGACTGCTGTAATGCTATATACTAGTCTCAATTAACCCCCTCAACTCAAAGTAAAAAAAGTATGAACTGGACTGCTGTAATGCTATATACTAGTCTCAATTAACCCCCCCAACTCAAAGTAAAAAAAGTATGTGACAAAGAAAACGCTGTGATTTAAACAATCGCATATTTTTTTGATATTTTTTTATGTAAAGAATATTTTTCTGGTATTAAATTATTTAATTTCTTTTATGTGTTTATCCTCCGTTGTTGTTTCTTATAAAACACAAACAATATTTCGCCAATTTTACCATTTTCATCAAATTGTGGACTATTAATAATTTTAGCTTTTATACCTCCATCTTATACTTTTTTTTAAACATATCAACAAAAATAATACCCCAGCAGTACAATAGTCAAATTAGTCAAATATATTAAAAGGCCAAAGTAAGTTTTTCCGATAATATATTTCCGTAAAAAGATTTATACTTTTAAAAATGACTCTGTTTCAACATACATGGTTAACCACAAAGGAAGAGTTTTTTTAAAGAAATTCTGTAAAAAAACGACTTGAAGGTTACCTCTGTATTTCGCACAGTATTTAATGATGCAAAAAGGTTTTTAAATAAACAGTTTTCACTTGAAGGGAAAAGTACTAAAGAAATTTCACGCAGTCGTCTCTGAAGTCTCATCTTTGTGTGTAACCAGGAATTTGGAATAAAGGAAAAGGAAATGGCGCTGGTCTGGCATGAGAAAGCCAGTCGCACTGCTTTGCAGACAGGGGGCTGAAACGTCATGTGTGTGTGTCTGTACCAAAAGAGTGTGTGTCAGTTTAAAGTACCGAAGGTATGTACTATAGGTTTATACAGTACGTAAGAATCTCGGTATTTGTACAGTCTAGGAGAGTACATTTGTTTATTGTTAATTGTTTAATTAAAAATAAGTTTAATTTGCCTGTAATATATTATTTACATATTTAAGTCAACACTATAAAGCCAAATTTTTATGCAAAAAATATAATTTGATTAAAGTTTACAATAAACTACTCGTTATTCAAGTTTAATGATAATTGACGACATTGTTCTACAATTTCCTTGACTGTAGTCATGTTGTGTGTCTGTACCAGAAGAGTGTTTGTAAGTTTACTGCACTGGTCTGCAAAGCAGTGCGACTGGCTTACTCTTGCCGGACCAGCGCCATTTCCTTTCCTTTTATTCCTGTTCCCTGTAGACCAGTACGGTAACCTAACACACACTCTTTTGGTACATGCACACAACATGATTACAGTCAAGGAAATTGCAGAACAATGTTTTCAATTATAATTAAGCTTGAATAACGACTATATTTATTGTAAACTTTAATCAAGTTATATTCTTTGCATGCCAATTTGGCTTTACAGTGTTGACTTAAATATGTAAATAATATATTACATGCATTTAAAACTTATTTTTAAGTGAACAATTAACAATAAACAAATGTACTCTCCTAGACTGTACAAATACCGAGATTCATACGTTCTGTGTAAACCTACAGTACACACCTTTGGTACGGTATCCTTACACACACTCTTTTGGTACAGACGAAGTTTATAGTTTTTTGGCAAAATGGCAAATTTACAGGTTTACCCATAAAGGATTAGACTGTAAAGACAACCTGACACTCAAAATATGACACTTCTAGGTGGCGTTATATCTTCTGCCTTGATTACAGTCTTTTAAAAACTTATTTTACAGTTTGGCAAAGAGCGAAAACTATGTACAGATGCAAGGAGTTACGAATATAAGGAAACAGACCGTGTAAATTCCGTGCAATCGTCTCGTGAAGTCTAATCCTTTGTGGGTAACCCTGTAGAATCAGTTTTAGGCAACAAGGTTACAGTATATAGACTATATACTATGTAGTGATCATGTACGCTAATCCTTTACTTTACAGGCCATGTACTTTACTTTCTAAGGTCAATCTGTATGTTACAGTACTTAGAGGGATTTCTGAAAATAATTTTTTTTGTCACGTTTGTTCAATTGGTCCTCTGTTTATAAGATTGGAATGTCAGATTAAGAACGGGACCCTCAAATGTTTAACATTAATTCTAATTCATTTTTCTTGAGAGTAATTTTTAACACCATAGGACAATTACAGGGTGATCCGACCATAGGACAATTACAGGGTGATCCTACTATAGGACAATTACAGGGTGATCCGACCATAGGACAATTACAGGGTGATCCGACCAAAAGGACAATCACAGGGTGATCCGACCATAGGACAATTACAGGGTGATCCGACCATAGGACAATTACAGGGTGATCCGACTATAGGACAGATAGAACTCTTTCNACCTTCCATCAGCATCCTAGGGCCAGTGAATGATGACAGTGATTTTTTTGTCCTGATTCCCAGGTATGAAAGCAAGGAGCGAGTTGAGTAGGTAAAACGGGGTGATGATTTCCAGATCTGTTAAATTCACGAATCATAGAGGTTAATGAGATCATAAGATCTTTACGATCATTGACGATCTTCCGATGTGCATCCTTGATAACAGTGATCTTAGGAGGAAACGGAAGTGTACCAGCCGCAAAGCTTCCTTGATATAGTTCTCCAGACCTGGCAGAGATTGATTTAACAGAATCACTGAAATGTTGAATATCTTCTAGTATCTCATGGTCTGTAGCACCGCGGAGAATGTCATTCAATCCTGCAACAAGTAGAACGTCTACAGCTCGATGAACGTTTCCATACCCGGCCATAAAGGCATGTTCGAGTTCACGGACAGTTGCACCTGGGATAGTTAAATAGTCTATGTGGATCTCATCTCCTTCATAGCCGCTCATCGAACGGATTCCTTGCCAGTTGTTTAATATAGAGCTGGAAACCAGAACAGGATATCTTTCTCCAATCTTGTGTGAGTGTGGGGTGGTTTTACAGGTTATACAAGGATAATTTTCCCACCTGTCAGCTGGAGCCAAGATTCTGTAATCCTTTGAGCTATTGTGAGTATGGTGAACTATTGAGCTTGTATAATCTCCTGGCATGATGAATTCTGAGCATATATTACAATATCTGCTCTGGTTCTCATTTGCAGAACGGATCTTGTGATAGTTCTTCCTCTTTGCATTCATAAACATCACATGTTCTGCAGATTTTCTGGACAGAGAAATGTCTCGCATCTGATTTTCAGCTGGAATGTTCTTCGAGAGCCTGTCTGCATAAGCTGGATATAGCATAGTTTTGTAAGATGGGGGGAGGGTTGGTGGAGGTCTGCTAGTATCTGGTTGGTTCCATATGGGGCGCACTCTCTGCTTAGCCATCCTGGATTAGGTTAGATTATACAGGATTTTAAATGTTGGAATATATTTAAACTAACTATTACAACTTTATTGTCAGACAGGTTAATGTTCATTCATGTATAGATAGATTTAACGAGAATTGAAGCTAGTTGAATTAACTTTAAAGAGGAAGTATTAACTCCATTCTATAGCTTTTATCATTTAAGTATGAGAAATTAGGATTATCAATAAATGCCATATGATTGATTTTTAGTTCAGATCTAAACCATTTTAAGAAGCCAGTACAATTTAGGTTTATTTTTCTGCACCTTATAACCCAAATGTAATATTTGACATATAGGATAAGTAAGTTTTCAGGGGCGTACATTCTCTTCGTTTTCATTCCAAAAATAAATTCCTTTCTTGTAGGAATTACTGAAACTGCATCCCATCTTGTGATAAAATAGTAATAAATAGCTTCCAAAAAGGTCGAGACAATCTCACAATCCCAAAATAAATGTAGAATAGTTTCAACAGAATTTTGACAGAAGGTGCAGTTAGCATTGACAGTAGGGATAAATTTTGAGATTATTCTATTAGTTTTTAACGTGCCACGGACAATCTGATATTGCATCCATTTCAATCTATTATCATAAAAAATGTCCTTAATCAATAAATATGTTTTTTTCCCAAAATTTGTTTCCTTGCATTGTTCCTAGCTCTACTTCCCATTTTCTCTGTCTAGACTGAAGGTTCCTATTAGAGAAATCAAGACGCTTTAACAATTTAACCCACTGATTGCACCCTTGTGATGAATAGTTTATAAGTCTAATTAAAGGTGGTTGGTAAGGCATTGTAATATTTAATCTGTCTAATGATATGTTAAATTTTTGCAATCCAACAGTTACAACTTGTTTAAGTGAGATGTAATGCATTGGATCAATCAACATCAAATTTAGCTCTCAATTCTTGCTTTGAAAGGAAGACAGGACAATTGTTTTCAGCTTTTATGAAATCTAAAGGGTATGATACTGTATTTCCTAGTCTTTCAAAATTGTTCCTTTTACATTCTAGCGAGTTAAGCATGAATACGCTTGAACCCCAGATAGGATATCTAATGATGTTGTCAGGATGCATTCGTAAATGTTCCAGCAAGAGGGGTTTTACAACATGTATGCAACTTTTCCAGAAAGTATTAGGAAAAATTTTCTCCAATCTTGTATATTCTAGTGTGCCTAGTTCAGTAAAAAAGACATCTAGGGAGATATTTAGAGATTTGGTCAGATTAAGTTCAAATATTTTACTCCAAGTTTAGCTTTTCGCCAATCTTCTGAACCATGAGAATTTATAACTGTTCCAGCTAGATTGTACGTCTGGAAAATTCAAACCGCCTTTAATTTCAGAATGTTTTGAATCTATCCTAGCGACTTTCTCCTTACCCTGCCATATAAAATTATAAATAAGGTTTTCAATTTGCTTTATTTTATTGTTGCTGATCATGGGAAGGACAAAGGCAAGATGAGCTAGTTTAGAAAGTAGAAGAGTTTTTGCTACGCACGCTCTTCCTATAGGACTTATGAATCTATATTGCCACTTATTTATTACAGATTTTATTTCATTAATCTTGAGATCAAAATTAGAATCCATATCGTTTAATGTGCCATTAAAATTTACTCCCAAAAGTTTGAAATCTTGGTTCCATCTTAATCCTAGTTCAGGACATAATATATTATTTATCGGAACATTTCCGAAGCATACACATTGTGTTTTACTAATTTGTATCTGTAAGCCTGATGTTTTATAAAAATCATTAAGCATGTGTATAGTATTTTTAAGGCTATCTTAGAGGCAAGGTCTACATTTGGGATATACTTATTTATTTGCTGTGTGTTCCTATCATACTGTTTCAGAACTAGTCGACTGTTGGCAGGCGCGCTTAGGATCTCCCTAGTTTTAGTTTTATCTTTCGTATTCTCTGCTTTACCATTCACTGTGACTGCAACCTCTTTGGAACCAGTGACTTCCCCTGATAAGTAGTCTTTATAAACAGTAGTCTTCTCTGTTGTACCTCCTACCAAAGATGGTTTCTTGACTGATGCGGTTAGTTCGTTTGAGTATGGAAATCTAACTCTACAGTCTGCCAAATAGTGTATTGGATGCCCCTCAGGAATATTGTTAGAATCCTGAATAAACATCTCAACAGCTAGAATGATCGGTTCAGGTTCAAAGTGTTCATATATTCTGAGTTTCCCCCAGTCTTCTCTAGATGGCATATACCCTGGAATCTTCAGCACATCCTCTAAATACTGCGTCTTGGATGGAATGCTTTTAGGGATGAACACACCTCTATCGTCATAAGTCCCCTCTTCTACCCAGTTGTCTATATGAGTTGGGAGTGCTTTATCTTTATAAGCCACATGTGCAAACATGGCTGAATGTGCGTACCTCGTAAACTCATCAAACCTACTCAAATTAACTTGGTGCTCCTCTTTTCCCTTCTGTACTACGTTCCTCCATATATGATCTAACCAGCAATCTGGAGGTGGAAGGATTGCAAATATGTTTAGCACATCTAATTTAGCTCTCAAAGTCACATCTGCCTCCTTCATGTAAGTCAGGAAATCGCTGCCTCTCTTAGGCTTGTATGAGTCTTGGAATTCCTTTTCTAGAGTAGCAACATTTCGATTGAGAGTATAAATAGTGCAGCTGCTATTGGATCACCCTGACGGCAGCCACGCAAAATATTGAAAAGTGATGATATGTTGCCAGCATGATTTATGCAGGCCTTAAAGTTATTTAGTAAAATATTAATCCATTTTTTGTAATTGTTGCCAAATCCAAAATAATGCAGCGTGCTTTCTATAAACTTAAAACTAATCGAGTCAAATGCTTTTTTAAAATAAATTAGTAGGAGCAAACCAGTTTTAATGTTGCGTTTTGCGTATTCAATAACGTCATATGTGGTTCTAATACAATCCCCAATATAGCGCCCAGGGACAAATCCACATTGATCTGTATGGATTATATAGGGGAGGACAGTATTTATTCTTTGAGCGATAACTCCACTGATAAATTTGTAGATACTATTTTGAAGCGTTAAAGGTCTCCATGAATCCAGAAATTCTTTTGGCTTTTCACCTTTAGGAATAAGTGAAATGACCCCTACTGTCTGTGATGAGGGCAATTTTCCTATATTGAAGCTATAATGCCCAGCCTTAAGGAAGGGGCCTAATTGTAACCAGAAAAACTTATAAAAACCATATGAAAAACCAGATGAGCCTGGAGTGGAATTGTTCCTAGATTTTCTTAAAACAGAGGCCAATTCCTCAAGTGTAATATCTTGCTCAAGGTTGGCAACTTGTGATTCAGATAATTTGGGGTGTGGAATACTAGGGTCTAAAAAGTCATTTAGTTCTTTTGTTAAAAAATTGACATGGTTATTATTAAGATCTTCATAGAAATTTTTTGTTTCCACTTCAATATCAGATTGGCTTGTTAATAATATTTCAGACCCATTATCATCAGTGACTTTAAGCCGCGAAATATATTTTTGCACATTAAAATTCTTTTCTAAATTGCAGAAGAAACATGTCGGTTTTTCTCCTTCTAATTTTGATGTTACTTTGCTAGACAAAAATGTTTTATATGCTCGACCTTCAACAAACTCAGTATAAGTTGCTTCAGCATTTGCGAGTTCATCAGATATGTTTATAGGAGGATTGTTTCAACAATTAAGTTCTTGCAATCGAGTAAGATTTTCAAGCAATTCTTTTTCATGACGATTTTCTCGCAAATGTTTAGCAGTTGAATATGAGATTGTTTCATTCTTAATATCATTTAAAAGCATATCTAAAAGCAAATTAGGATTTATATTGTAATCTAATAAATGTAATGCGCTGAAATCTAGCAACAAGAAATCAGCAATTTCCTGATCAGAAGATTCTTGATAGAAGTTTTCATAAGAGTTGTGTTTTAAGTATTTGGCGCATGTAACTTTAATTGTGTTTTTAATTCTAGTGGCATATGTCGTATAGACCAGATTTTGTTTAAAGAGGATCATCTTCTCTATACGTAAAAACCTCTATATTTTTGTAACCAGAATTATTTCAGTGCATTCACTGATAGAGAAATACAGCTGTGCAATAAAGTTATACAAATCATTTATTTCAAGATAAGAAGACAGAAATAAATGATAACGACCTTTCCAAGGAGGTTGTGCAGGTTGACATCTCTAATGCTTCTATACTCCGAGCTCTCAGGACGCAGAGAGANCTTTGCTTTCTTCATGGAGGCATCATTAACAGACATAGCAGGAGCTGACCCCCCTTTAATATGGTTACCCTTGATATAGTTAGAGTTGTCTTCAGGGGACGGATAATACTCATCTACTATTGTATAACCTTTCTCTGATCCCCCCTCCTTATCCTTGTATCTCAGTTGTAGTAAATGACCGGAAAAGGAAAATTGGGTGTTAACATGGAGAAATATCCTATACTTGTAGGCTTTTCGCTTCATATTTTTATAGGCAACTCTGTATCCTAGTGGGACATCTCTGTTGAAGTAAACCCCCCTTGGAAGGTTTTTGGCAAATCGGAACATTTCATTTCTTTGGAAGACATTTTGAAAAATGACCAGAATAGACGGACTCCTGTCCCCCCCGTCCTTGCCTAATTTGATGACTGACATGATCTTGTAGGACACAGTGGAAGGGATAGACAGTTTGGATAAAAGACTTGGAATATCTTCCTCAGGGTTGGAGGATTTCAGTCCATGGACAATCAAATTGCAATTAACTTTCTCAACCTCAACAGACAGGTTATACTTATATGCTGCCAAATTGTTAGGACTACTCTTACTCGCTAATTCCTGAACTATTTCAGCTTTCAAGGAAGCTTTCATTTGCTCTACAGTATCTGTCAGAGAAGATATATCTCTACCCTGACTGGTAATAATACTATTCATTGATTCATACTTTTCTGACAGTACAGAAACCTCCTGACCTAATGGGGCTATCTTTGAGTCCATCGCAGAGATAAGTGTGGAATTGTTCTCTTCGAGAACTGCTTTGTAAGCATCTGCACTTTGCTTATGTTTTCTGCACTTCGTGCAGATCCATTCTAGACTTTTTACTATTATCGGTAATGTCAGAATCCTGTAATTTCCTTTTTGTTCCAGAATTAGAATTTAGATTAGGGATTTTACAAAGTTTAATAGATGTATCTTTGCCCTGGATATCAACTTTAATTAGTTCCCAGGGTGCCATTAAAATGAGTGATTCCTATGAGAAAAATAAACCTATGCAGAATAAACAATTGCTGAAAGCGGAATTTGAGTCAATAAAGGTGGTTTAGATAGAATGAATGAATCCTACACATTTGCAGCTTTTCGCAACAATAAACAATTAAAACATGTGAGTACATAGGCTTTTCGCTGTTCCAACAATTTAAATATCCAATAATATCCACCTGTATTCCTGGAAGCCGGGCTAGAACTGTGGAGGAGTGTGCGGAGCAAAATTGTCCAACTTCAATCTAGCAGTCCAAGGGATACAATCAATCTTTGTATCCAATCTGATAATATGAATATCTGGAATAGAGTAAGATATCAGTACTGAATCATAAGCCAGTATAACACAGTTAGGAAAATCTAGAACAGAGCAGAAATTTACACTGCTTTTATCTCCGATCACCGGTAAAATGATTCCACGAGTTGAGAACATTGTGAAATCTGTCGGTGGATCGACGATCTTATTGGTTCATTTTGTCACATGATCAGATACTGGTTATGCGTTTCACTATGTCTGTTCAAAAGTTTGCGCATGCGCAGAGAAGACCATTTTTCCGTAAATTGCTGAATTGTCTTTTACCCTCTCCCCGGGGTTAATTTTCGTCCACTTTTTGATCATATTCCAAGCTTAAAGGTTAAAGAGCAAGCTAGCTACATTTAGTGTAGTTTTGATCACTGTAATTGTTCAAAAACTCACTTTATTGCAGATCTCAGAATTTGCTTGTTGTCAGCTGCGCGTCTGAATGAAGAAACCAGTTCCCGGCCTTCCACTGTCTGTCTGCAAAACTGTGTGAAATGCCTGAGCTACCTGCCAATACCAGGCTTTCCTCTATACACCTATACAGACTTGATTATTTGATATCTCTTCTGCTCCCAGCTGTCGAGATTTTTAAAATTTTATTTAGTGTTTATTAGATCTATGCAATTTAAAAAAAAGTTTGAACAAAAACAGTCTTTCGCGGGGTTTGAACAGGCTTCTGCGGGGTTGGAGCAGGCTTCTGCGGGGTTCGAACAGGGTTCTGCTAACTACCTGGGTTCGAACAGGATATTGCGGGGTTCATGGCCGCATCGCCCCCCCTCCCTCAACTGGAGGTTTAATCCTGGTTGAGATATATTGCCTTTGTGGCATTCAGAAAAGAAGATTTGATCTTGGCAACGAGTAGACCTGGATAGATACGTTTCGAGTAAAACTGTTATGGAGTTGGTATTTTACAACTCACTAAAAATCCGATATTTCAATATTCCATGAAGGGGGGAATAGTGAAATCTTTGAAGCTTTAGAAAATATTGTATTGAAAAATGTAATATATTACAATGCCATTTGAAAGCTACCTAAAATGAAAAAAATATAACTCATGCTCAGATCTATTCCTGACAAAGATTTCTTGAATAATAATATCTAAATATTTATTTTAGTAAAGCTTATCGTTTACATACATACTAATTTATAGTAAGGTTTCATTACATTCTTCATTACAATAACTTACTACTTTAACATACATTATTACAATTTATTGTATATATCTATAATGATGTGGAATAATTCTATTTGAGTGTTAAAAATCTTTTGCACTCCGCGGCCAAAAATGCGTTTAATTCTTCAATTTTTTTATGTTGTTCGTTTCTCTTCTCCCTTTCCCTTTGAGCAGATGACTGACGAGTCCTCTTGGAACTGGATACAGATTTTTTCTGGGACATTAGCATAGACTGGGGAGTTTCCTGGGACTTCACCAGGGAAGTTGGAGTATCTTGGGACCTCACGGCGAAAATGGGAGTCTCCTGGGTTCTCACAATGGAAGTGGTAGTACTCTCTTGGGACCTTACAACGTAAGTGGGAGTCTCTTGGGTCACTGAAGTGGGCGTCACTTTGGACATCACAGAACTGGGAGTCATCTGGGACATCACCACGGAACTGGGAGTCAACTGGGACATCACCACGGAACTGGGAGTCATCTGGGACATCACCACGGAACTGNTTTATGTGACTAATGTAATGAATCAATAGGATAATATTTATTTAGAGGTATTTTAGGGTTAGGTAAATTACAGACAATTTCTGAGCCGGGCACCACGGCTATAAGACACACTAATGGGCCTGGAGTGCAATCACAAATTATTTTCATGTAAATTTTTTACAGGGTGGGGGGCCAAAAATCACTATAAAAAGGTTCCTCTATTATGATTTTTAAAAAAACGAAAAACAATAGTTCGCACTTTTTAAAAACTTTTTAATTGTCTGATCAGCTTCACTACAACACTAAGCGATAACAAAAAGACAATTTGTCCCTATATATTCGCACTTTTGAACACAAATATAAACTTACAAATTTTCACAATGCAAAGCTTGTTAAGAAAGATGGCGACTGTGCAGAAAATAGATCCTGGCCCGTGTGCGGAGATAAAACCCTTGGTCTCAGGAGTCTTGTTCCATTTTGAAAAAGTATCAAAGACGACATCAAAATGTGTTTAAACTAAAACGTAAAAAAATGACATTTCCATTCAATTTTTTCAGTTTTTTTTCACCATAATAATCAGTGAAAAATGTCTGGGAATTAGAGCTATCGCCAGGGATTTAGGACCATTACATTAAAATTTTCGAAAAAATTTACATCAAGCAGAACAAAAAAAATCACGAAACCTCAAAACTGCAGTTTTGAAAGTGAATTTAAAAACTAGTGTGAGTGGGCAAAGTTATTTAATAAGGGTTATGGTAAAACCTTTGAGATGGTGTATATAAATTGGTCAAGGAAAACTCTCATCCTCTTCTTAACAATAAAATACCAATAGTCAAAGTAAACTCTTTCCTCTCTATTCTTATCATTGTTTACAAATATTATTCATAAAGGGAATTACAATGTTGCCCTTCTTCACAAATGCTCTCATACACCCCTGTTGATGTACTAACATTCATCTGGACTATTGTTCATTCAACAGATTGTTATTTGTTCATTTTAATAGTAAAAATGATTCTAATATTGTTAGTTTTCATTGTTTTCTTATTGAATAAATATCCTGTAGATGCTTCAGTATTTGAAACCACTGGTGCTCAATCCATTAATAGAACTGGGTTAAGCCCTCCACTAGATAGGACAGAGGCTGGTGTAACTCTAAACCTATGCTAGGAGCAGTTGGTGAGAGGTTGCAGACTAATCTGGATTTTACCAACTATAATTCCCTCTCTATGGAATGGCAGGAGAAGTTGCTGAGTTGTCTTCATGTTCCTGTCCAGAAAAAAAATCTTGAATAAATGTTTATAAAAAGATTTTAACATGTTGGTAATAGTGAGGGTTGTAGGGAAATGGAAAAAAATAATTGAATAAATGTTGGTAAAAAGATTTCAAGAAATTGGCAGTAGCAGGGGTAGTTCAAAATTGAAAAAAAAATTCTTGAATAAATGTTGATAAAAAATTTCAACAAGTTGGTGGTAGTCAGTGTAGTTTGAAATAAATTCCCCACTACCCTCACTACCACAGACTTGTAGAAATCTTAATATCAACATTGAATTTTCAGTTCCACCCCACCCTTTCAGTTCCACCACACCCTTACTCCTGTCATCATGTATACATATACCAACTGCAGTACAGTCTGTCGGAGACTTGTATAATCAGTGTTCTCTATCAGGCCTGGATGTTACACTAAACCTGTGGTATAGTGGAGGTAGAAGTTTTTCAGGCTCACAAATTCTCCTCTTCCCTTGTCCGAGGATTCTCTGTCATCAGGATGGGACCAGGAGAGTCTAAAAAACACGATCTCAGAACCGACCAAGGTTATATTGCTTGATTCACTTATAAAAGAGAATCCATCTCTTATTAATAAATCAGTTTGAAAATGTTCATTAATCTTCATCTTTATACTGAGGGAGGTGAAGTAAAGAAAGTGTCAATGACAGACCTGTTGAATAATATGAAAGTGATTGATTTACAAACAAGAATCGAGGCTGAGCACGGAATCGAGGTATCTCTTCAAAAAATTAATCCACAAGGGCAAGATAAGGTCGGGTAACAATGGTGAAACCCTGCTTCACTGCAACGCTAACTACAACGAAACAATATAGGTTCACAAGAGAGAGGTTCTTGGTTCTCAGCACTAGTCAAATATAGGGTCTTTGGGGTTTTTGGAGTTGATCTAAAAAAGCAAGTATACTGTATACAGTGTTGTTCTATGATGGTATAGTAGCAGATTCACGATGAGTTTGAAATATTTCATGTAGAGCCCCTTATGCAATTGCCATTTGAAATAGTAATAAAAAAGTTTGTAAATTTCAAGTGTTGAAGAGTCCCCTTCTGTTTTAACTGTAACATTTTATGCATAGTGATACAGTGTGATGAATAAATGTTTATTCAACAGTTGCAATATTTTTCATTTAAATTAAACATCAAATAGGGGATCCTGCTGATCTCTGTCTTTGTGCTGTCTGCACTACTTCAAAGTCTAAGATGAAAGAAGCATGCATACAAGTATGTATTCTAAATATTTGTGCATTATTAATTAATCAAAACAACAAGAAGTATTGCAAGTTACATTTAAAACACTATTAGGATGTCATAGAAGTTGAGTGCAATCCAAGGATCTTAGACCCACTACCTTCAGAGAAGCTTTGCTCGGATTGCTATGGAATTCTTGGGGAGATTATTGATACTATATTCTTATTCTTAAAAGAATGCCAAACTTTTTTTTAAAATCACTTATACTTAGTTTTTTTATAATTGTTTTTTTCAGTTGTAGAATCATGCTTTGGAATTGAGCTCTTAGATGGCTATGGCATGGCCTTTGAAGATTTTAAGAATGAGCTAAAGGTAGAGGTTTTTTCATATGATAAGACTTAAGAGAAGGCCCTATTTCTAAATGATGTGACACATCATCATTGAGATTCTTTTTTACATAATTAGGAAAACATGATTTTAGAGGGGTGAGAAACAATTATGTTCAAGCTAATACATACTATTTCAAACTCATCATGAATCTGTTACTATACCATCATAGAACAACACTGTATACTTGCTTTTTTAGATCAACTCCAAAAACCCTAAATACCCTAAATTTGACTAGTGTCAGGACGATGCGAATACAAGCAAGCAGGTCGTTGAGCCTGAATCGGAGAAGAATCCCGAGGTTAATCTTGAAGATGTGGAGAGTAATTTTTACAGACTTGGAGATCTAGTTGACATGAAGGATTGCGGTGAAGGAAGTGAGACTCTTGGATCCTTGTTTGAAGGCAAAATCCAACGGATTACCAAGAATATTGAAGCTTAGAAAGA